TCAGCTTGAGCTGAACGCCTCAACAGGTGTAGGCTCTTCATGGATGTGTCCCTGTACTTACACCTCAGCAATTTACCAATTGAATGATGTGGAGAGGCCTTGCCAGGATGGATGGGTAGAGGAGAGGGGTGACCGAACATCAGTGCGTGAAGCAGCTTGCAAGGCCCCATCATAAATATCATGAATATGAGATAATATGAGGAACGCTGAAAAGTATTCCCGACGGATTTCTGGAGCCTTTTTCCTGTCAACGGGCTGAGTGCTGGTTTCAGAATGTCAGTTCCTGACCTTTCCGACATTCGGAAAAATAACGGCCTTGAGTGTGCTCACAGCAGCTCCGGCTTGTTGAAGTAGATCCAGAAGAGCACAGCAGGGCCCAAGGAGATGATGAAAATAGCCCAGCCAAGCTGCAGCAATGCGTAGCCCGAATTGCCAGCATGCGCGATCTCAGGCACGGTCAGCACTGCAGCCGAGATGGCCGCGGCTTGTGCTGCTCGGTCTTTGTGTGTCTCAGTTCGTGCAGCCTCAGGTGCTGCTGAGACGAAAGACATGGCAGCAAGACCGAAGAGGGCCAGGCACACAGCCACCAAGAGCATGGACGAGCGACGAGCCATGGTGAGTAGACTGGTCTGCAACTCTACAGTCTTGTCCTCCCTAGTAATCAGCTTGAGCTGAACGCTCCAATGAGTGCACTATTGTTCACAATTTGCGGACGTCAATTATCTGTCATCACATGTCTCATCACTATGGAGTGGGATGAAATTGAAAGGCATCAGCTAGATTTGTTTTTGGGAATGGTACTTATACTTCATTTTTTGGGGTTACTACTCACATGTACAAACATGAATGGCATGATGAAACAACAAAGAGTGAACCAATGCACTCTCTACTCCACAGCATTGGAAGCCGGCAAAGACCCAAAGTGCCTTGTGGTAAGTGGAAAACAAACAGCTCCTGCAGCAAGCATGTCGCAAGACATGGGCTTGCGCAAACGTTTTGCACGCCTCTTCAAGCGGCTGTGTAGAGGTTGCGGAATGTCACTTCTCAACATTCAAAAATCCAGCCCTTGAATGTGCTCACAGCAGCTCCGGCTTGTTGAAGTAGATCCAGAAGAGCACAGCAGGGCCCAGGGAGATGATGAAAATAGCCCAACCAAGCTGCAGCAATGCGTAGCCCGAATTGCCAGCATGCGCGATCTCAGGCACAGTCAGCACTGCAGCCGAGATGGCCGCGGCTTGTGCTGCTCGGTCTTTGTGTGTCTCAGTTCGTGCAGCCTCAGGTGCTGCTGAGACGAAAGACATGGCAGCAAGACCGAAGAGGGCCAGGCACACAGCCACCAAGAGCATGGACGAGCGACGAGCCATGGTGAGTAGACTGGTCTGCAACTCTACAGTCTTGTCCTCCCTATTTCTCAGCTTGAGCTGAACGCTTTGGGTGCTGACAGTTGACGAGATTTGAGTCCGGCATTCATTTTGAAGGCAGCCTCACACTCAAGTTGTGGATGTGATATGGCATGGAAAACCGCACACACACACACACATTTGTGTTTCAAATGCACATGTATAATATACCAAGTAAGACCACAAGTGCGAGGGCTTCGCTCTTTACATGTGGACACTTTCAAGTGGAATCAGCGACACACCGAACTGCACTGTTCAAGTCACTGTTCGCGGTTGTGATCAGACTTGTCCCATCTGAACAGATTTAATTGGGCATTGTTGACCTCAGGCATGCAATGCAATTAGAGGACACTTGACCCTCTGACAGTTTCTGACTACCACTCTCAGACTGGAACCTTCCAGAAACCTGCTTGCGATGAGCTCCAGGTGTGTGAAGGTGAAGGCAACATGCTCTGAAAAGAGTCACGGGTTGAGGTCAATTGGGTTCACCCATTTTCAGATCCAAACAGATCTTTGATGTCTACAATGGCCTCTATATTGGCATAAGAGTAAACGGCAACATATGGTCTAGAAACACTCTAGCACAAAACGGCGGGCCTTGGACATCTTGCAGGAATACATGGGGAAACGCAGCAGGCTGGTCACGACGTGGATTTGCTTAAGGAACCTGCATAGAATAACACATATACCCCAGAAGGGGACTCAACATGATTCAACCATAGGAAAAACAACCAATCACCTTAAACAACACCGACCCAACGGCCGACACAGGACGACTCATCACAAGACGCGACGGTTGTATCCAGGGGCTGCTTTTGCCTGTTGCTGTTTCGAGATGGCAGTCTTTGCTGGCATTGAAAAATCCAGCTCTTGAGTGTGCTCACAGCAGCTCCGGCTTGTTGAAGTAGATCCAGAAGAGCACAGCAGGGCCCAGGGAGATGATGAAAATAGCCCAGCCAAGCTGCAGCAATGCGTAACCCGAATTGCCAGCATGCGCGATCTCAGGCACGGTCAGCACTGCAGCCGAGATGGCCGCGGCTTGTGCTGCTCGGTCTTTGTGTGTCTCAGTTCGTGCAGCCTCAGGTGCTGCTGAGACGAAAGACATGGCAGCAAGACCGAAGAGGGCCAGGCAAACAGCCACCAAAAGCATGGACGAGCGACGAGCCATGGTGAGTAGACTGGTCTGCAACTCTGCAGTCTTGTCCTCCCTATTAATCAGCTTGAGCGGAACGCTTTGGAAGCTTCATGCTCAGCACATTCTGTGCAAAGCCTTTCGAACCTGTTCTTGTGTAGTCCAGGCCATGATGCATCAATAAGTCAGTGCCAAACCATGAAAAAGACCAAACAAGTGCCAAATCACAAAGGCTATATACATCGCAGTTTATCCTGCATCATATATTAATAACATCATTGGCAAAAACAAGCCTTTGCAAAGTCAGCGCGTTGTATAGCCAGTGTGCCTCTCATGACCGTCACTACAACTGGTCACGTGGATCAATGGATGGTTCAATGCACGAAATACAGTGCGCCATTAAAAACCCTCTACGCAGCATTCCCCAATCCTTTGCAGTATGCTGTCGCACCTCATTTTTTGCCCACCTCTTCAAGAGTTAGTGAGCTCGGAATGTGACTTCTCAACATTCAAAAATCGAGGCCCTACTACTACACTCACAGCAGCTCCGGCTTGTTGAAGTAGATCCAGAAGAGCACAGCAGGACCCAGGGAGATGATGAAAATAGCCCAGCCAAGCTGCAGCAATGCGTAGCCCGAGTTGCCAGCATGCGCGATCTCAGGCACAGTCAGCACTGCAGCCGAGATGGCCGCGGCTTGTGCTGCTCGGTCTTTGTGTGTCTCAGTTCGTGCAGCCTCAGGTGCTGCTGAGACGAAAGACATGGCAGCAAGACCGAAGAGGGCCAGGCACACAGCCACCAAGAGCATGGACGAGCGACGAGCCATGGTGAGAAGACTGGTCTGCAACTCTACAGTCTTGTCCTCCCTATTTCTCAGCTTGAGCTGAACGCTTCTACGTGCTATTGTTTCCTTTCGCCCCACCGTGGTTCCAATTGAGTCTTCATGCACGATGATGCCAACGCATCCGAAACACATGTGCACAAGAGCCACGCTCAACGGAATCGTTTTCTCTCTCCCTCTCTCCCTTTCTCTCTCAGCCAGAAAGTCAAAAGCACAAGCTCTATTATTCATTATTTATGCGCTTGTTCTAACAACTTGCCATACAAATACGTCTGGGCATGTCCGGCCGCTTTTCTCCAAGCATCAGCAAGGGGGATTGGAATGTCAATTCCTGGCATTCAAAAATCGAAGCTGCCCTCAATGTGCTCACAGCAGCTCCGGCTTGTTGAAGTAGATCCAGAAGAGCACAGCAGGGCCCAGGGAGATGATGAAAATAGCCCAGCCAAGCTGCAGCAATGCGTAACCCGAGTTGCCAGCATGCGCGATCTCAGGCACGGTCAGCACTGCAGCCGAGATGGCCGCGGCTTGTGCTGCTCGGTCTTTGTGTGTCTCAGTTCGTGCAGCCTCAGGTGCTGCTGAGACAAAAGACATGGCAGCAAGACCGAAGAGGGCCAAGCAAACAGCCACCAAAAGCATGGACGAGCGGCGAGCCATGGTGAACGGATTTGTCTGCTAATCTACGGCCTTTTCCTCCCTTTTTGGTCAGCTTGAGCTGAACGCTTCGTATTTTTTTCGGCTTTGTTCGATCCTTTGATGTCCAAAAAAGCTCCAGGAAAGAGCTAACTGCCCGACCGACCACCGAGGACTGGCCAATGACTCATCAAGGGCTCCGAGCTCACGTCCAAGCAGCACAATTGAGTCACTACTTCGAGAAGTCAAAATCCGCCGCAAAAACGGAGAGGACCCCTTTTGTTTGGAAGGTTGTTGAAAGGATCCCTTTTGTTAGGAAGGTTCCCTTTTGTTGGGTCTATTTACTATTTCTTTCCTCCCCCGCCTCTCAACGCAACACCGAACATGACAGCTGGGAGGGTCGAAATAGAACATGTACCTTTCCAGGACCTGTTCATTTCCAGCACTTTCCAGCCTTTCAACAGATTGGTCGACAAAGTCACCTGGAAGAGACCCACGCCACTCGCCCACTAGCTCACTCGCTAGCTCACTCGCGTGATGGACCGGATCCTCGCCCTGAAACCACCGGTGGTCGCCGAAAAAATGAAGAACCACGGCGTGGCCGGCCTCACTTCATGCGCACACGTCCGGAGATGATCTTCCAGGCCGGGCGGCCCTTCACCATCCGCGGCCCTGACCGACTCCCGGAGGGGTTGAAGCTCGCCCCGCATGGTGAACGACCATGGAGCATTCCATGCTTTTCAGTGAAAAACGCTCAGCTGTAAAGGACATGTTTACAGCATTGCATATCACATAAAAGTATCAAATAATGACGGCTCCTTCCACGGTTAGATTCAAGTTCCATGCGTTTCGCAGGCGCTCCATCGGCCTGGCAGCCTGGCATGTGAAGTATACATTCCTATACTTATATATATATACTTGTACTTATACCTACTCTTATATACTTACATAACTATTACAGTATATACACCCTGGAAGACTAACATGGAACCTGACAACCCCTGGTTGGTAGAGGAAAATAGTCTTCCATGGGACCATTGTCAGGGTCTATGTTAGTTTTCGGGAGTGTATATATATATATACTTATATCCTGCAGATTGCCACTTGCCTCGGCAAAAGCTCCGCTCACACGTAGGGCACGGGATTTCCTGAGGCCACGCGAGGCCACCATCGATGGAGAACTTATTACCCGAACGGAGCGATCGGATGCTACGAACCGGGGCTCCTGGCCTTTACTACTAGGAACAAGAGGACGCTACTAGGAGCAAAGGGCATCGCTACTAGGAGCAAGGACGCCACTAGGAGCATGGCACACTGTGTGCTGTGTGCTGTGTGTGTTTCTTTGATGTTCAGAACATCCGCCCACCGGACCCAAAACCAGTGATATCATGTGAGTGACATGTGATATCACTACCAGGACCGACACCAAGAGGTGTCTATAAATAGCCTCTTAGAGGTTATGGGGTGTCCCAAAACCACCTGTTGGAAGGTCCCGGTAATCATATCATATCATATCTCAGATCCCTTTTGGATACTTTTGGATGAAGAAAGGAACACTTGCAGCCGTTGGGAGGCGAAGTCAATAAAACACCTCCACAAACACGAGGTGTTTCGGGCATCACTTAGCCAAGTGATTTGATTTGGATCTCTCTCCCTCTCTCTCTCTCTCTATTCAATTTTTGTCGAACTGCTCCTTTTCGATTGATACGAAGCCGCGATGCTGTACTTACTACCTCCCCCTCTCATGCAATCACTTCGTAGGATATTGAAATGGTCGGAACCTCGGAACAGCCTTCAGCACAGGGTTTCAGGCCCATCGCGCGCAGGGAGCCAGCACTCCCAGAACTCCCGCTGCCATATTTCACGTCGTTAGGCGTCTCTCTCAAGCTGGCCGGGAACGAAGTTCTCAATGGCCAACAAGGAGTGGGTATCTTCTGCAATGCGCTCGACATACATCTTTACCTGGGCTCGCAGCTCGCAGCTTGCGGTGGCGACTATCTACCTGGGCCATCTAGTTCCAGTGAGTTGGTCTCAATATAGGGAACATCATGGAACATCCAACCAGTCATGCGCATCGTTGGTAATGTGACTTAGAGAAGTTTCTTCTTTGTTGCAAGCGTCCGTCCAGTTTTTTGGACCGGTCCATGCTTGCTAAGTCTGCTCAGTCGGTGTCAGACTGCACCCATTCAGCGACCTCGGGCCACTGCGGTTTCTCAACGCCGGGCGGCGAGCTGCGACTTGCGGGCGTTCCGCTTCCGGTAGAGCGCCAAGAGCTCGCCGCACTTGGTGTACACCACAGCCACCTTGGCATAGTTCTCCTGGACGCGGCGAATTCCGCTGCCCAAGGCGAGCAGGTGATGGCCGGGCGAGGCTGGCGACGTGTTCCATCAAGTACGTGAAGCTGTGAACGGGAGGTTTAGCCAGCGCACCCCCAGCTTTAGCACACACACACACACACCTTTCAAATTTGGAGAAGGCCTGCGAGGGGACCCTCCTTGGTTTCCAGGCATCTATGTTTCTTTAAAGAAATGGCCCTCAAGACTCAAGAGTGTTCCTTCCAACGAGAAATTCCAAGGCTATTGTTGAAATTGGAAAGGACTGAGATGGCCCAGCGGCCAGCAAGCAAGTTTCCTCCAACGTGTTCTAGGTGCCCAAGTAGTAAACACACCCGAGTAGCAAACAAACCTGAGGCTAAACAGCTCCTTCATGTTCTTTTTGGGCATCCCTTATCCAATGAGTAGCTTTACAAAGGCTTCCTCCGCCCCTCGCGCCGCTCGCGGCCCCCCGGCACCGCCCCGCCGCGGCGCAGCGTAGCGGCGCACTGGCGGAACAAGGAGGATGCGAGGTCGGATCTCTCACTGGATACGCGAAGTGGGCCAATGGATTGCATGGCTGTATAGTACCTCTCTTGTTGTTGATGGGTTGGAATCCAAGCTCTCCGTGTCCTCTCTCTCTCTCACATGACTGAAGATTCCAAGGAGGGGAGAACGGAGGGACTCGAGGTTGGCACATGATGGACTTGCACATCCTTCAAGCAAGGACCTTGCACACCTGAGTCTTTGCTTTCTGCTTTGTGGACACGATGACCATGGGTCATACTGGGTCCAAGGGGACTAAAAGTTTTATCTGCCATGTATGGCACCATGACCGCGTTGAGTGTACTATGGATAGGATTACGATAGGAGCAAAAAGGGTTACGGAGGTTTCGAACATGAACACTCTCGCGGGCACCAAACTTATCCCAACTAATTACTGACTGGATAAGCAACAAGCCTGCTTCCCCGCACTGGTTGCAACTAGTTGTAACACGTTCCTTTGACTCCAGCACCCTTGCCCCATGTTCCTTGCGATGGCGGCCCCCCGAAGAGGTCGCATCCGCGCGAGCGGAGATAGGAAGCATGAAAGCATGGCTCACAGCAGGAATGACACTCTCAGTTGAATCGATCGTTCAGAGAAAATGGGGCAATGGATAGTCAGCTCACTTGCTCTTCTGCTGTCCTCGGAATAATCTGTTTGGTCCCACCGTTCCCGAAAACAACCTATTTCAAGAGCAACAGCTATCGATCTGATCTTGAAAGATTGTGCCATGAGCCTGTGGTCGGATCACATTTTTTTCTGAATTTCATGAACTAAATCTGCTGCTGAGCGGACGGATGAATGATGAACATGCCATGCGTTTGGAGCACCAACCGTCCAGTCATCCAGTCAGCAGCGAGACAGAAGCCTGATGCATCAAGGGCAGGTTGTGAAAACCAACTTTTTGATAGCTTTTGTAGGTGCAGCTGGGCCCACAAATACGAAAGGGAATTGCTCTAGTGGGGGTCTTCGTAGGTCATGTATATATTATATGGGTGTGTATTAAATTAGGGAGACACCCCACATAGATCTCCTTGAAGGACAATATATAGACCCGAACCCATTGGTTGGGTGTCTCCCAATTAAAATGCACTATGCCTTATCACATATCACGTCTTATGTCTTCACCTATAGTGTGGTGAAGCAGCATCCTGCGATGGTTGGTCAGTCCATCCACACTTGGCTCATCCGCAGCCCTTCACCGCTCAGCCTTTCACCGCTCTGCCACGGCTCGAACGCTCTTTGGCATCGAGGCGCGGTATTTCTGGATCACCTGAAAAGAAGGGAGGAGAGGGAAGGGAACGCGACCTTGATCATCTATCTCCAGTGGTTTGGCATGTTTGGTCTCCACAAATCATTGCATCATTCTTGGATATTTTTGGGGGTTGAACCGTGTAAAACAGTCCTTCTCTCAATGTGATTCTTTGGTGCCCCACTCCCGCACAGGGTTCCCCCCTGCCTCGTCGTGGAGGCGCTTGCCATGCTCAGCACACCAGGTGCGCTTCTCATCAACAGCCATGCCCTGTGGGGTGAGCTACACCGATCACCAAAGCCCCAAGCAAAGAATAGGAACCTCCAACACATCATGTCTGGACCCCAGCGGATAGGGGCTATCCACCTTGTCGCATCTAGAGGGTCCAGGCTGGACCTTCGGTGGATCAACCAGTTCTTGGGATATGCTGCAGCCCCTACGCCCTGCCGGGCGTTTTGTCGAACATGGAGCCTGGGCAAACTGATCGTCTTGCGACATGTCCACGAGCCCAAAGACTTGGAGCCTATGTCCAAACCCAGATGCATGATTTGTGGTGAGAACACACCCAACTCCATAAACCGCCGATAGGACAATTGTTCCACTTGCTCCAGGATATTCGCAACAACCGTGGGCATTCCCTAAAACTTTTTACCCCTGATGAATGGTAGATATACAATTATGTCCCTAATGCCTTCCACCAGCGACGGGCGAGGGATTCTCAGCCTTCCACCAGTGATGGGCGAGGGATTCTCAAAAAGACCCTTGCCTTTACTGTGTGTTGATGGCAACGCTCCACCGGAATCCCGCACCATGCTTCAACATCCACAAAACTCGGAGATTGAAGATCGCCCCACAATTTCAATGTCACCACTCACTCCACGGGTTCAGTTGGAGGGTGATAACGGTTCACGAAATGTTCTTCAACAAAATGCAGTATAATTGTACGAATCCCCAAGGCTGATGTATATGTTCATTTACCTCGTCGATACACCACCAACAATCCAACAGAAGATTGCCTGCCCAAAGGGCGCCTGCCAAATGGACGCTTCTCTTAGTTTCCAGAAGGTGGGCAGTTGACCAGTTCTCTTGGCCAGGCTTGAAAGATGCCGGGTGGGCTTCATCATCCAACGCCAAAGCTTTCCTGACTTTCCTCATGCCCTTTCTTTTTGCCTGAAGGATCTACGTACTAGCATTAACCTTTTGTTTTTGCCCCCCTCGATTCACAAAAGACTTGTGGACACAAAAACAGCAAAATAGCCAGGTGAGTAGGGGCTTGAATCTGTTCTTGTGGGCTTCTACCTGTTCCAACCATCCCCACCCCTAAGGGAGGGGGGACCTGTCTAAATGTAAGCTACATTTTTTGCAACTTTGGGCTTAAAAAATGTAAGTTACATTTTCTTAGGGGCACCTTAAAAAATGTAAGTTACATTTTTTGAATAAATGTAAGCTACATTTTTTGAGGTTCCGTTTTCTTGGCGCCTTTCTGTGTTTTACCTTTTTCCTCTAGACCGTCTTCCTTTTCTTCCTGCTATTTTTAAGACTTCCAAGCCAGTGACAGAAGCATGCATGTAAAGTATGTTTTTTATGGTTTCGTTATTGTTTTGGTATGATTTGCTATTTTTTTCTCAAGCCTTTGGGCAACTCCAAAGCTTGACCTTTTGGTAGCCTTTCCAGGTCGCTTTGGGGAACCTGCCTCCATCCTTCGGAAAAGGAAAACCATACCAAAATCATATCAAAACTATATCAAAATCATTTTTAAAATGCATTTCTGTGTTTTCCCCTTTTTCCTCTAGACCTTTCTTCCTTTTCTTCATGCTTTTCCTGTGTTTCGCAACACGTCTCTTCGAGCCACTCCCGAAGAGATCCACGACCCCCCCCCCTCTCGTCGGGTGGGTCGACGACGCTCGTACGACCCCC